GGCTTTTTCCGAGCCGAGCCCGGGCCGTCCGAGCCTCCGAGCTTTTTTGCCACCGCTAGCATGGATACCTCTCATGCAGTTCTATAAAACGTAGTTTACAACACTACTATATTACTACCAATTCAAATAAAAACACAAGTTTTACTCCTTTCATTTTCTCTCTATGTACAATTCTATGTAATAATAATTTCTAAGAATTGAAGGGATCACCATTAGACCTTTTTAAAAAAAAAAAAAACTGGTAAATTGCTTTTCTAAATCTTGAATATTTTCATTTGCATTTGAGTATCTATATGAATTTAGTGAATTTGTACCTTCTTTTTGAAGGTGTGAATTGTGCTGTGTGATTTATGTTTGATTTAATAATGAAAAGTTCTACTTTTGGTGGTGTTTGATTGGAAAAAAAAAGTATATTTTGTTTGAAATGTGATGAATTTGGGAGGAATTAAGAATTTAATGCTTTATCTATAATTGGGAAGAATATATAAGATTTAATAGGTACTGTCTTGACTCTTGAAATGTAAGAGGAAGAGTTGATTTTTCCTCTTTTTGTTATAATTTCTAGTAGATTTAGTAATGAACTGCATAGATTGGCGAAAAATGATGAGATAATTTTTCATATTTGTGCTAAATTATACTAAAATCATTCAAGGAAATGGATCGTTTTCTCTACCTTTAGCAAGGAGCCTCTGTTAGTTGCTGTAACATGTCAATCCCCAATTCAGTTGGGTAATTCATCTCATATTGGTTTATAGATTGACGCTCATTATTTTTATAATCATTTGTTTCACGTTTGATGCAAGTTGGTTGATTTGGTAAATAGTTGATTGTAGATTTCTACATCAAAAGGCTCGATTTTAGTTTTGCTCATTTTAGTTTAATCCTACTCTTTAATTGGGGACTTGTATTTGTACTGGAACCAAATCATGAAGACCCTCTCAATGGCTGGTGGCCATGTGGGGCAGAGTTTTTTCAATCATTGCATATAGCGTTTGGAGGCAGCGTCAATCAGTTTCTCACCCAATCGACATTGTAGATGATTTAAGTTGAGAGATTCATAAATTTGGTTCTACATCTATCATTGTATTCCAGTGTAACTGTGCTTTATTTTTTGTTAATTTTACTTTGTGAAAGATTGAAACTTGAACTCTGATTTGAAAAGATATGTTGCAATAGACTGATGTTGATGCATCATTGCATTTTCTGAAGTCTGTGTGCTTATGTTGCATTTTTACTTGTAAGTGGTTTATCTATAATCAAGGAATAATGTTATCTATTATCACCGATGATAGTCATCGTGTTTAAATTATCAAAATTGTATTTGACAATAATTGTGAGAACTAACATGAACTCGATAAGATTGATTTCAAAATATTTATTATCATGTCAACATGAGATCAGTGCTCCCATTTTTTGCAACTTGATTAGATTTGGTTGTGACTTGATGCTAATTAATTTTTGTCACAAGTTATGTACAAGGACAAAAATAAGGGTTTGCCAAATTTAATTTAGGTTGCGTTTTTTATATCTGGAAAAAAATATTTCAAAATTCATCAACTTCAAAACTTATATGTTATTTAATACTATATTAACATTAAATTATTAAAATTTATTGAATAATTAGATTTCTTGAATAAAATATTATAAAAAAAAATATTCTCAAAATTTCAAAGTAAACGCGTTTTTCATTTTTATGTTTTGAGAAACAATTTTTCAGAACGACAAAAATAACACATTTTCAACAATTTCAAAACAAACACTCAAAACACAAAATGAATTCAAAATTCAAAACTCACACATAAAGAGAACGTCCCTAATTCTCCTTGTTTTGATTCCACCGTTTGCTGAAAATTTTTAAACTACCATTTTTCGAGTTTATTCCACCATTTGCTTAGATGTTGCTTCTTTTCCCATTTCATTCACTGTCAGATAATTGTTTCTACCGTAGCTGTGAAAATTGCAAGAAATTAATTGTCCTTGTTTTGATTCCACCATTTACTTGGATTTTTCTTTCTTCCCTTTTGATTCGCTTTTGAAAATTATTCTGATAGTAGCTAAGAAAAGTTGCTAAATCTCCTTTTTTTTTAAATAAAAATAAAAATCCAGCTCTTCAATAAGAGTGAAGGAAAATGCATATTATCATTAGAACATCAAAGTTCAATGATTAGAGTGCCCAAAAAAGAAGAAAAATGAGACCTTAGGAGTAAAAATCTGAGTTGCTTGGGGGTTGGGTAGGTAACTCAAAAGAGCTTCCGCTGCTCGTATTCCTGAGTTCTTTTACAATACTGGCAACTAAAATACAGGCTGCAGCGCAGAATAAAGGTTGTCTGAATTAATTCACTTTAAAATCAAAAGCCTGCCCAAAAAGCAAAAAAGTAGCCAAGAAGTCGTCATATGGTCCATCTTCAACTTCAACTGATCCCTCTAGGCAAGAATGAATCGACAGTGATTATAACCTGCAAAGCCAAGTTTATTTCATTTACAAAGAAATTGATCAAATTTCAATATTGCCAACGCATTTCAAATGATATGTAAACAGTAAAATCACGATATACTAAATATTCATGAAAAAAGAAATAACTAGTTCGTGAATTGGAGAAAAAATGTTTACTGGGATCAGTATTGATGAGCATAGCAGTCCCTCCAAAGCCACAAGAGCCACCAATTTTCTTGTTCTTCTGCCAATAACTATTGAAAGCATAAGAGGCATGTGCCACAAGTGTATCGGGGAAATAGCAATGCCCATGAGGTCTAATAGCTTCACAATCAGCAGCACCCTCTCCACAGGCGTAGTCCAGTGCCTCCTGCAGTGTCTCTGGTGGCACACTAGGCTTTGCCACACACCACAGCCCATTTTGCACCCCTGCTGCTACCGGTGCTGCAGCAGGACCAGCATCACCGGATGGATTACATGGAGGCAAATGGGGTCCAAAAGGAGGAGTACTAGGGTTGAACATTGGAGGCAGTGAAGGAGCCAAAGGAAGTGTAAATGGTGGAGGTGACACTTTTCCTATTAATGGAGGTAAAGGGCTTCCTGCAGCAAAATCTGTTTCAGAAAAACCAGTTGGAGCAGGAAATGGGGATTCTTGTTTAGGCATTGCTGGAAGTGAATCCATTAAACTGCTGTAATCAATGAATGAGAGTTTTCTGCTGGTGGGTTTCCCATTTCTTGGGCTACTAATGATCACATGCATTTTGTTCAGATAAATCCCAAGATTTCTCATGGATTTTGAGTGGGATTTCAAGAGACTCGTGGTTTCATCAGACAAGGTGTACAGATTTGAAGAAGGGTTCACCAAATAGGGGGAGTTAATTTCTTGCAAAATATTGAGTAAAGGTTTAATGTGATTTTCAGCCAAATCAACCCTGTAAGTTTCAGATTTGGAGTCCAAACAGTCGGAAGAAAAAATGGAAGAGACTTTAATATCATTCTGCAAACCCCACCTGGTGAGTGAATAGTGAATATTCTTGATGGCAGGCAGAACCAACTTAGTTTCTTTATCATTTTTGCACAAAAGATCGTGACCAATAACAATGGAGGTTATGTTGGTGGCTGGATAATGGGATAAAACATGGGCCCGGACCCAAGTTTCAGCCATTAGAACACTGTTTGAAACATTCTTAAGGTACTGATTTTCCACTTGTACTGCCACTGGAAGACCATTCTGAGGTAAATCTTTAAGGACCTCTGGAGTTGAGTCATAGAGCGTTAAGAACTCCACTGATTCCTGACATGTAACTGCGGAGAAAGAAATATAGGAAAAAAAAGAAACATCTTATAAATCACATAAGTAGATTTGAAAATGCCAGAAAATGGTTGTAAGAGAGGAAAATCTTTATTTTTTGCTTACCAGTTGAGGATGAAATGAGTGAAAAAAGAAAAAGCAACCAAACCATCTTCAAATTCCACGGCAGAAATGAAAATGGAATGAGTTTTAGGGTAAAATCCTCTCTTCTGTCACTGACTGATTCTCACTGCGATATTTACAGAGTCACAGACTTGAAAAGAAGACTTAAAGGCCAACAATGCAAAGCAAGTCGTTAAACAGGTAATTGAACTGTAAATATGTACTTTAATCACTTGTAGTGCAATGATTAATGAAAAGTCTTGATAAGCTGAGGAAATCGAATTAAAGTAGTGTCAGAATGCAAAAGGACAACACTTTTGTTGGTCCGGATATTGTGACTCTGAAAAGAACACATGTTTGGCAAAGCTTAATAGTTTACTTATAAGTGTAATATTAAAAAATTTAAAATGAGTAATTTTTTAAGCACGGCCAAACATGCTTAGCTCATGGCCCAGTGCAGACATAAAAGTACGAGCAGTAGGGTTGGGGCCAAGGGATGGTGTCCTCTTTTCTGCTTATTCCAGCTGCTTTCTAGCGGCCACGTACCATTTGCGAGGCGTTGCATTATTGGGTAATCGTTCAAAAAATTTTGACCAATGTTTGGCACCAATTTATAAATCCTTATCTACTTTTTATTTTCACATTTTTATAAAATTTACAAGACAATTGCTGAATTTTCAAGGCCCGCCATGAACAAACCAAAACGGCAAGTTTTGTACAGGGAGAAACATGTGTTGGGTTGTGGGGAAGATTTTTCTTTTTCTTTTTCTTTTTCCCCTTGTGTTCTTTTTTTTTTTCCTTTCTAACTTCTTGTTTTAATTCAAAAAAAAGTAAATTGGTTATCTTAAAACTTCCCTTTTAACAGTCAAAAGTAACGATTTTCCCAATAGAAGGATCTTGCTTACATACTTTTTTAGTGAACGGACTTGGGTGCCTATATTGAAGGTTGAAAACTTTATTATCTCACAAGGTTTGAAGGTTTGGGACACCCGGTGTTTTTTACCCTATAAAAAATTAAAAATGGTCACATAAGCAAAGGTAGATAATATTTAAAAACAACAATTCATCTCCAATTCTATCAAAAGAAAAAATAGACATCTTCAAGAAATCCGTTTAGAGGCTTTGTTAGACGTAACAAGTTATAAAAATTTTAAATTTTCTCTTTTTCTCCCTCTCTCTCTTCGGATATGTGATTTTTAGACAATTAAAATTTCTCTCTTCCTCCCAATTTTATTTATTTCAATTTTAGAAACTATAAAATACACAAAACAATCCTTTTGACTTGTAGACTGTGTTCATTGGAGATGAAATTTGAACTTGAACTTCTATTCAGTAATTATTAATGCCACTTAATTGTTACCTAAATGGGAATCCACAATTTTCCTATTCGGACAATTCTTGTGGTACATTATGGGATCCATAAGGGTCTACATAATGGACACTTTGCGGCCTACAATTGGTTGGAGTGCCGATCCCACACCCATAATGTGCCACAAGAATTTTCCTTATTATTGCGGCCTACAATTGGTTGGAGTGCAGATCCCACAGGCACTCCCACCAATTGTAGGTCGCAATGTGTCCATTATGGATCCCTTTATGGATCTCATAATGTACCACAAGAATTTTCCTATTCAAAAGCTATAGTTGATTGCAGAAATATAATTCATGGTGTGCTTGAGCCACATTATTTAGGAAGAATGTATTTTGAAATAGTAGATTGATGGATAATGTATGGTTGAAAAAGAAGGAAATGTTATTGATGTGATGGAAAATATTATTTTATTAAAGAATGTGTGGTTACCCTGTTTGAGCCACATTATTTTCTTCATTCTCATTCTTCTACTCATTTTCAACCACACATTCTTCAATAAAATAATATTTTTGATCACATCAATAACTTTTCCTTCTTTTTCAACCACATATTCCTCATCACATCACTTAAAAAAAATGCATTCTTTCATTTTAATGTGCACCAAACGGGCTCGAGTAGAAGAATGAAAATAAAAATTTTAATGTTTTTCAAATAGGGGCTCACTTTATATCACTCAAAATTAGGGATTTGCGTGAACTTTTTTATTCAGTTCGGAAGAGAACTGAAATAAATGATTTTTTTTTTTTTACAATGGAACTATTTGGTTTCATTAAAAAATGAACCAAATGGTTTCAGTTCGATTTAGTTCGGCTTCTGAATCAAAATTGTCACATAATCAATGCATAAGTAAGAAGAACCAAGAGAGTTTATTTTTCTTGCCGTAAGACATGAGAATCAAAATGAGTTCCTTTTCGGGAAAAAAATAAGAAAATTGTTGATTCCTTAAATTGATCAAGAGGAAAGTTTAAAATAAGTTAGGATCGTTCTCGATTATGTTGTCTAGAACCATAATTGGAACTTGAATCGATCAGTTCTTGGTTATAAAAATCAAAATAATTTGAAAACATACTAATGGTATGTTTGAATCGAACATGTTTGATATTAATCGTTCCAATTCTTTTGCCCATCCCAACCCAAAATCAAGCATGCGAATCCACCACAATCCCAGTACGTCGACCCATAATAATTTCAAGCATGCAATGCATTATCCACATACTCCAAATGAATGGTTCGGGATCAACTTGATCACGAGTTCTCCAACTCTGATATCAACCTGATATACGGTATTGTCATCACTTTGTACAAAAGCTATAACTGATGACACAAATGTAATCCACCTTATATTACTCAAAATAATCCAAGGAATCCACCCCAATCCCTCGGAACTACCCATTCCAAGCATGCTCCAATATTAATTGCGTTGGAGATACTCTTAGTCTACAAAAAAAAAAGGAAAAAAAAAGATAGAAGGAAACAAAGTGTCTTGGTTGAATAAATTCTTTTATATGCCAAAATAGGAAAAAAGGAAAATGCTGACATGGAGTTGTGAAGAGATGAAAAGTTAGCCAGTATGATATTTGTAAAAGGTCGATATAAAAAAGGGTGAGCCGCATCTTTGACGGCCCCCACCTGCTCTGCCTGAACCTTGGTGAAGGAGGTAAATCGTAGGTTATGCCTCCAAAGGTACATGATGGAAGACTGTGTGTACACTTTTGTAGAATATAGCAAGCAGTCAAGATGTGAAATGAAGAATTAAATCATATTTAAAATGATCCCCAGATTATATCTTTTTTTACTTAAAGAAATAAGAAAAAAGTTGGTTTACTTTCGTTAAGCTTAGCCAGACATGCCATTAATTAATCTTAAGGAGGTTTTGTTTAATTATTGTGGGATTTTGGTAGGAGCCACATGGTGCATTTGCAAGGATGGATTGAGTAATCAAGCCTTGCAAAAGGCACTGGATTATGCATGTGGTGCAGGGGCTGATAGAACTCATCAAAATGGACCTTGTTTCACCCCCAACACTGTGAGGGCTCATTGCAATTATGCCGTCAATAGTTATTTTCAAAGGAAAGGCCAAACCCCAACGGCCCAACAGCCTGTGATTTTTCAGGCACTGCCTACACAGTCACATCTGATCCAAGTAAGAGTCCACAAGCTCTAGTACGATTCAACAATACAAAGCTACATTTAAAAAAAAAAAAAAAGTTTTAAAATCTCGTCGTACTGTCTCGCCAAAATTTTATGGGTTATGCTGTGGGTACATAACCTAGGTTGACAAACACATGGAGCAACAGCAAGAGACAGCTGGAAAACTAGTTGGCCAACAGGCAGTCAATTCGCTGCCTCCAATAATGGCTTCACCTAAATCTGGATGGGGTCTGTGACTGAGATTTACCTTATTTTTACGGAAAAAAGGTTTAAGATTTGCTATTTGATTTGGGTTTTAAGGTTTCTTGATTTGAAACTCTAATTTAGATTTTCAATTTCGAGTAAAATCCTAGTTTGAGTGAGGCGAAGCGAGGTTGTCCCCTTGCGGTTTCTGAGATATTTCCAATGGATGAAAAGCAACCAATGGCCAAAGAATAATCGAAATGAATTTGGCTCCGTGCTGGAAAAATTTCCCTCTCAGCTCAGGGAGAAGGCTGCTTAGGAAAGTCTTACGAGACTCATGTTTTTTTTTTTTTTAGAAAATTTAAGTTAATTAATTTATTATTCTAACAATAAACTTTTTCGTTTTTAACATTTATAATTAGTTTTTCAATTCTTTAAAATTAGAATTATAATTTTGCATATTGTTTAAGAGTATATTAGTGTTGACACACTAAAAGTGCAATCCAAATTAAATAACCCAAAGAGTTAGGCCCAGTTAGAAAGTCTAGGATAAAGGCCCAAATAAGATTATTGGTGAATGTAGAAGAAGCCCACGAACACAGTAACATTATCGCCCAAACTTGCAAAACGTTCAAAATCTGAGCGAATGGAGTGCCTTACGATTGCCCAGAGCGATGACCTCGTTCTCGCCCAAAACTTCGAATCGCCTAGAATCTTAACACATGAGATATTATGATTATCCAGAATAGCAGTTATCGAGCAGACTTATCACATTCCACGATTCAAGAAGCCCATTCGAAGGCGGTTGAATGACAAAAAGTAATGACAGCAGTTAGAGGTGACAGTTCCACGACAATTTAGCCACCTGAAGAAAGTTGATAGTTATAAAGCAATCAAGCAATTTTCAAGCGGTTTGTCACGAAAAAATTATCATGGGAATATAAAAACGAAGAGAAGATATAGAGAAAATGTTCTCGAATCAAACACTCTCAAACAAAGAATATGTAATTTCAATTTCTTAAATTAACTTTAATTATCCATTTTCAGTACTCGTGTGCTTGCGTCCCTTGGAGGCATTCTGTTTGTTTCCAATTGTAACTCTCAACAATAAAGCACCCCTTTTTGGAGCTTTATCTTAAGAGGTTTGTCATTTATATAATCGTCTAAATTCTTTTTTAATTGTTAGCAATTACCCGCGCGAAACAATTAGGCAACTTGACATTTTCTTACTTAAACAACATCAGCAGACCGATGGTCAAAATTAATAATTTAATAAGAGAAAAATGTAACATTGTGAACACAATGGTCAAAATTAATAATTTCATAAGAGAAAAATGTAACATTGTGAACACAAGAGCTAAGCTTGAGATGTACAAAATGTATTATGCATTACAAGAGGAAATGATTCCTCTAGTTTCAATTTCTTCACTTATTTTTAGCATTCCAATGAAAAGAATGGGGCTCCTGAAATACTCCTTGATCTCACAATTTTTCTCACCAAAATTCTCCATCTAATATCTTCTTTCTTGTTCTGTTTTCTTCTCTTTTGCCTAAAATTCCTGGAATAGCAGAATTAAATTGGTAAGCATAGTGAACACAAGTATATATAAATCTTGCTCATTATAATGTAACATGATCGGGTAGGACATGTTAAACTTCCATCGAGGAATTGACGTTCATAAACTTTATCGAACCATGCATAGATGGGAGGCTTGGGGTTGGGGAAGAACGCAAAATGAAAATTGAGAATTGAGGTTGAAGAAACACGGACCTGCACAAAGGAACCTTACAAAGGTCGGAATCAGCACAAAGACGAGAGTGCAATTCTAAGATCTGCCACATTCTCTTGCAATGGATGCAGCCACCTGGACCTCTCATCTTACACCGAGCAAAGTGGCGAATAAGCATTTCTATGCCTTTACAAGCTTCATACTTACAAGGTGCCTCATCGTCTCTTAATATCTTGTCATGTGGGCCAATAGTTCGACAACCGTCTCTACATATATGAACAAGAGCTTCCATTGCCTCGTATAGTTGTAAATAAGTTTTTCTCTCGTTGATCTTCCTTGACCTCTCTTTTTTCGCCTGAACGAGTAAAAATCAACATGTAATTTAGATCAAAAACAGAGAAATCACAGAATTACTGATTTTGTATGTCAAAAAGTCAAAAAATACTCACAACATCCTCATAAATAACGGATTCAGTAATTTCTTTTTCCAGTTTTGGGTGGCTCTTTTTCATTATTTTCCATCCTTCAGAGGCAGAAACTGGTTTGAAATTTCTCAGGATGAAACGGTGGCAAATGAAGCTAAGCCGAGGAGCATCACAAAGCAATGCCAGCTGAAAGACATCGATTACATTCTCCGTATTTATCAATTTCTGCTCTAGCCACAACTCACACAGTCGCTTCAACCGTGGAACCACATATACATGTGACAACACCAGTAAAGGAAGTGCGACTTCCTCTATTTTTTCTTCTTCGTAGCTATGAAAGCATAACTCCAATTAGTGAAGTGCAGAATGAAGCTAATTAAAATGCAAAAATACCAGGAAAAAAAAAACTTCTGGCATTGAAAGTACACTCCTTAGGTGGTATAATTTAACCTACTAGGTTTATTGTCATCTGAATTCTAGTGAGGCCTGTATATTTCAACTGATTTTTTCTCCGTTTTTTCTTACCGACTTGTGATACTTGCATTGTTCATTCATAGATTAAAAAATTTAAAATAAACATTGTATAGGATAAAAATGATTACCAGGAAGAATATAAGAATCGAATGAAGACTCGGACAGCCTCTGGTGGAACCCCACGAATTGAGATTGCTCGCTCGCGAGTATGCCTATGGCCTCTCGATTGCTTTAGCATACCTTTGAATACAGGAGAAGTTGCACCCTGTTTGTAGAAATCCAGGAAATGAACATAAATAACGATATAGACATAATTCTTTAGTACATGTCATCTACTAGATTACAATAGCAAACAGCAGTCGCAGCCACACATCAACTTGAGTTTGAACTGATGCTCCTATTTCGTCTTTTTATTTCTCACGAAAATCACTACCGACCCATGAACAAGAACTATCTTCTAAGAGAAAAACGCGGAAGAACTTACAAGAATACTCGCATGTGCATAGATGATGTTGTCGTAATCCATTAAGATTGAGACATCTGCTCGATAACCTTCATCAAAGAGGCAGTCCAATGAATGATTCATAGTAATAGAGGCAGAGGAGCATGATTTAATCTTCGATTTAGTTGGCGTAAAGCCTTTTTGAGTCGGCAATGGAGGTGGAAGAGGAAATGCCATTCTATTCTGTAAATAATTAGAACATCATGTCAGCTAAATATTAAAGCTTTCAGTGGATAGTTGCTCTTGAATTTTGTATTATCCTCCCTAATTCTACTTAAAATTTCAATAAATCGAACAACACGAGAGAGCTCAGAGATACCAAAAATAAAGACACTTATATCCAATACAGAAAACAAAGTTTATAGTTTCTAATCAATAAGGGGCTGAATTCATTTTCCATAGAACATGCGTTTGATAACCTATGAATCGATTTTCTGAAACAAGGAAAACTACGATTGGATAATTGTCGGAAAAAATTAAAGAGGTTGTTTTTACAACATATAATTTTTTTATCACATTTTTGAACAATGGAATCAGAAACATAAGATCAAATTTTATAACATAAGAAATGTTTTACCAAAATCACCTTGAATTAAGGTTTTAGCGTTCATTTTCTAATTTATTTTGCGATTCTGTTACACAATCAAATTAGACATTTTCTGAAAAAACCCATTAAAAAAAGAGCTATCTCAGTACCTTGAATTTTTGCTCAAGGAAACCACAGAACAAGAATTTCGAAATGCAAATCTTATTTTAATTTTCAGATTTCCACTCGGATCTCCTATCTCGCTAACTCAATTTTCTACGATCTGAAATATGAATAAAATGCACGATAATTGAACCCAAAAATTCCCCGACCAATCTCCAAAAATTTATCCCAAATGTTAAAGATTTCCAGGGCACCCTTCTCTTGTAGCAATGGGACGGTTGGCTTTTTTAGGGGGCGGAGAGAGAGCAGACAAGAGGGAGGGAGAGATGGAGAGTTTAAGATGAGAAAAGTAGGGTATATATAGGTAATATTGACAGACCGATACATTTGATTAAAGAGATAAGGACAGGAATTTGATTTAATTAATTGTGGGAATGAGGTGGATCTTTGTCAGCTTTGTTGCCAATATTGTTCAACTTGCACCTCAAAAACGTGCGAGCCGTACGTGTGAGACCTAGTCAATTCGTATGATCAAGTTCAATCATTTACGCCCATCATTTTCATTCGGAAACTATTTCAAACGGTTAGAATGATGTTATTCATTTTCAGCCGCGCAAAAAATTTATTGCCTTTTTTTATATCGTAAGTGTACAATATTTTAACAAGTAATATAGTGGACATTTGAGTCCGAATTATCACTCTCACGAAAACTATACTTTATGATTTAATCTAATTTTTCTTACTCTATTTGACAAAAGCAAATAAATAATTATGATGATTGTAATTATTTTTTCTAACTATTTTTAACTAATTGAAAATATAAAAATGCAAACAATGAATAATTGAAAATTCAAATATGTGATGAATATTAAGGCATAACAATTTCATCTATTGATCACATTTATTCTTAATTCAAGATTCATAACTTAATGTAGTGTTCGATCGTATTCTTCTATTGTATTCAATTTACCACTCTCGAGTTCTCATTGATCCTATGTAACTAATTAAATTTCATATCTCTATGTGAATCAATATTAGTTAAACGAAACACTAGTTCTAAGAATTCATATTATGACACAATAATTAGTATATGTATTTTTACACGTTATACTAATTTACCGAATTTTATTATATGGTCTAAATCTCAAACTCACATCTCGATTCATAAGAGACTCACATAATCATCAAATTATTGATCAGGTAATTTAATACATTAAACTCATAATAAAATCAACACATAAATAAATAAATTACATAAATCTTGAATTAAAAAAATAAAGAATTACAAGACAACTACATTATTTTCCCTAATATAAAAATTAGTTATTCAAAAATCTTGAATTAAAAAAATAAAGGATTACAAGTCGACTACATTATTTTCCCTAATATAAAAATTAGTTATTCATATTATAAAAATAAAAATATGCAAAAGTGGAAAGATATCACCAAAAATTGACGCAACGTGAAATTTTCTGATGTTTGCAATTTCCTTTTCTTTTTCTTCCTTTGGCTTTCTTTCCTGCCGTTTTTTGCTTTGACTTTCTCCTCTCTCTCTTTTCTTCTTTCTATCTCTTTCTCTCTTTTCTTTTTTCCTTTCTTTTTCACCTTTTTTTCCTGCGGCAGTTTTCTTCTCCCCTTTTTCTGTCTTTCTCCGTCCGTCTCTATCCCTCTTTATCGTATATTATGTATATCAATCATGTTACACTACCATCCTATTTGACATTCTCTAATAAAAAGACAAAAATATCATTCCTATATTTTTTTTTGTTAAATCAAGGTTTTTTATTCCTATTATAGGATAGTTTTGGTTTATTTCTCCTAATAA